CCCACCTCCCCACCAATTTGGATCACTTGTTGTTCCCTTGTCCCTGGGTTTGTTAACACCACTTCCTTTCCCCCCACCTCCCCATGTGCGCTTCTTTGAGCTACGTTTGCGTCATCTCAGTAATGAAGACTTCAAGGACAAACACACCTGACTCCACTGAGCCACAGTCTCATGATGGACTGTTCACTTTGATTACAGTGGCGAACACCCTGCACATCTACCCCTGGATTAGTTTGGGCATTAACCATGTACGTCTGGCAGCAGCAAATGCTGAGGTGTGCGGGGAGGCTTGGCGCTGGCTTTCAGGCCCAGGCTGTGTGTCAGCGTGGCTGGGCTATGGTTCTCGGGTTTAGCAGTGACGTCATGTGGCGGTTGTAGTCGTCTTTCATGTGTGTTCACGTGGGTGCCTCTGTTTCACATGATGCCGCTTTCCTCACCACCGTCTGGTCGTTGGAGCTTGACTGTGCCGATCAGTGAGGAGCACACATATTTTCACTTGAATGCCAATCAGTTCTGACAATTGGATCACCTCTAGTGGGCACTCTTTTATTGATTTCTGGAATGTGATGCATTTTCCAAATGTTTTTGAATAGTACCTAATATTTATAGGGAGCTGTTTTTGCTGTTGGCTGCACAAAAATGTCTTTTTTCCTCTTGGCTACTATAAAAACCTCGAACTCCCTGCCACCGAGTCAGTGCTGACTCATAGCGACCCCCTGTGGGCTTCTGAGACTGTCACTGTTGGTGGGAATAGAAAGCCCAGTCTCTTTCCCAAGGAGCTGCTGGTGGTTTCGAACTACTGACCATGCGGATCACAGCCTAGCATGCAATCACTCCACCCCCAGGGCTCCTACATGACACGTATGAACTTGCTTGAAAAGTAATATTGTATTTCTGGGGAGAGTTGGTTTACAGAGCAGTCGGGTTCACAAACAACAATCGCCACACAAGTTGCTGAGCGGCGTTGCTTATGTTCTTCACTGAGTGGGAACATTGTTTGCATTCTGGTTTTACTTGATGGTCAACTTGATCTCGAGTGGCATGAAGCCAGTCCTGAGAAACATGATTGTATGCAGTCTTCCCTCCCTGCTTATACAGGAGAAGCATGTGAATCTGTTACATATTGAGTCTCGAACATCAAAGAGAAGAAACTCAGAATTTGAGATTTTTGTGGACTGTGATATCAACAGAGAACAACTGAATGACATTTTTCATCTACTGAAGTCTCATACCAGTGTCCTTTCTGTGAATCCATCAGATGAGCTGACTGTGAAGGAAGATGGTAAGTTTAAAAACTGAAAATACTACTCATAAGTTTAGGAACCGAAAATTATTTTTAAAGGACTAAGTACTTAACATGTGTCCAATAATATGTTTGTGTTGAAGGTCTGAAAGAAAATAAAATTAAAACACTCTCTGACTTGAAGTCTGGCAGGGAAGGGACCACAGGATACAATTGTTCAAGAAAATTTAGAAGAAAAATTATAAAGCAACACAAGTTGCAACACAAGTGAGGGAGAAACAAATTCAAAATCATTATCAATTATTTCTGTACTACCCAATCATCATTCATTTCTTCATTTTACAAAATATCCATTTAAAAATTCTTAATCACTTAATAAACACTTGCTGACCATATCATGGTGATTTGCATCTAGCAGATAAGAAGTGACTATTTGAATGTGTTGAGACTGTTGACAGGTGCTGACAACTGCAGTGTGAGCATTCCTCTCTGTCCTTTTCCCAAAGCAAAGGAAAAGCAATAAAGCCTGGTAACTTTTCAGACACTCGGGTAGCAAAGGCATCTGCTAAGTCTTCCATTTGTGAACAAAAATTTTGTAGTTGGGGATACAAAGCAAGTTGATAATGCAGTCACATTTTAGATATGGTACTGAATTTAAAATCATCCCGTCAAATGAAATAACAATATTTAGACTGATACTCATTTGTCATGCAATCATATGGCTGCATAATTACTAAAACATTGATATATGTCTATTCCAGCTGACAGATAGTTGTTTCCTCAAGTTCCTTGAATGACTGTCCCCTACCGAGTGTGCCAGGTCTTCTACCTCCTATGCACTCTCGTCCCACAGGAGTAACTACGGGGCTGACACCTGGTAGAGCAGAGCCTGGGACAGCCTGGTGTCTATTTTGAGTGATGGATGCCCCTGTTGTACTTGTTGTTGAGTCTCTGAATACCATTATAATGTGAATTAGAAGGAATATTAGACTGGATATGAGGATTACATTCTAATCCTCTCTCTTCCATTAGAAATAAATTACTGTGAGTTAATTATTCTATATCTTTGGGCTTTGGATAACCCATGCCTAAAATGAGGCATTTGGTAAAATGGTTCATTTGATATTTAGGGTGCACCAACTTATCAGATATTTCCTCTAAGAAACGGGGATACAAAAATATAGTCCTCCTAGTTTACAGTCTTGCAAGCCAGATATATATATATGTAGATACATTGTATTAAAAGACAGTAAACACATTTAGAAAGATAGGAACCTAATGTCTTGGGAACTCAGAGCACAGAGAATTAGCTCACCTATGGAGGGGAGCGAAGGGGCCCTGTTGGCACTGTGGGCTAGGCATTGGGCTGCTAGTCAAAGATGGCCAGTTCAAACTCACCAGCTGCTCCACAGGAGAAAGATGAGGCTTACTGCTCCCGTCAGAGTTATAGTCTCAGAAACCCCCTGTAGGGTTGCTGTGAGTCAGAATCAACTCCAAACAGTGGGCAGAGGGTTGGGGAAAGCTTCGTCACATAAGGGGGTCTTGCTGATTTGGGTCTTCAAGAATGAGAAGAATCTGCGTAGGAAAACAGAAAAGGAAATGAGGTGGGGATGAGTTTTCCAAGCCGAAGAACTGGGGGAAATAAAACCAAATCAAACAAACAAAACCAATCCAAACTTGTTGCCATTGACTTGATTCTGAGCAGATAGGGTCGCTATGAGCCGGCATTGACTGGACAGCAGTGAGTGCGCTGAGTGAGACACAGATAGTAAGTCAGTACGGTAGGTGACACAGGGTAGAACTGCTCTATAGGGTCTTCTTAACTTCAATCTCTATGGGCAGAGATAGCCAGGCCTTTCTTCCGTGGCACTGATGAGTGAGTTTGAGCTGCCAGCCAGTCTCATGAGGACTTAGACGCCTGAGAAGGCCATGGTGGCAGAGACACAAAGGACCTCTAAGATCCTTGGTACCAACAAAAATAAACTAACATTCAAAGTTCTTGTTAAATTTGCACCTCGGCCGCTAGATAAGATTGTACTTGTTTATTTCACCTGGTAGAGTAAGTAAATCTGCAATATATATATTCTGGTGGGGTGAGGGCAACTTTTATTCTGGTATTGAAATACATTTTCCCAACACTTTGAAAAGCTCATCCAACTACATGTCTATCTTTTTTTCTTTTAAAAAAATCATTTTATTGGAGCATGTACAACTCTTATCACAATCCATACATATATTCCTTGTGTCAAACACATTTGCACATCTGCTGCTCTCCTCATTTGCAAACATTCTCTTTTCACGGGAGCCCCCAGTATCAGCTCCTCATTTTTTTCTCCTCCTCCCCCACCCCATGTCTATCTTTCTTTTTAAAAAAATGTTATTTGTGTCTATCTTTCTTTCTTTTTTCTTTTCTTTATGTCTATCTTTCGTAACCTCTTATTTCTTACTGCATTATTTAAGATGGTCTCTTAAATGTTGAGTGACTTTTTTTTTTTTTAATTTTTGCAGGTATGGAAATGGTTCCTTGGTTTCCAAAGAGGATTTCTGACCTGGACTATTGTGCCAACAAAGTTCTGATGTATGGATCTGAACTAGATGCAGACCATCCTGTAAATATGTCTAATACATCTCTTTATGAAAAAAATTAAGCAAAACTAAACATCAGGGGCAACTTATTCCTGGGTAAATACTGATTCTAGAGGAAAGGGAGTCTAGCCTTTCTCCTGGTTTTCAGAACCACCAGCAGACTTTCATTTTGGTGGAATTGAGCATAGCTGATTTACGCAATGGCCACTGGCTGCCAGAACATCTCACTTCATTCGTTGGCTTTCAGACATCCGCCCCATGCCTGGCAGTGCTCATATACTAACCAGGAGTCCTATTCACACAAGGACAGTGTCTACTGTCAACTTTCATTAAAAGGAAATCAGTAGTAACTCTAAACTCACTGCCATCGAGTCAATTACAACTCAGTGTGGCCCTACAGGACGGGGCATAACTGCTCTTGTGGGTTTCTGAGACTGAAACGCTTTACAGGAGTTGGAAGCCTTCTTTCTCCCAAGGAGTGGCTGGTGGTTTTGAACTGCTGACCTTGTGGTTAGCAACCCATCGCACAACTACTACACCACCAGGGATGGCTCCTAAATATATGATAGTATGTTAATATTAACTTGGTAATAATGATAACATATGATTGCCAATACTATGTTATTAGAAAGAAGAGGAAATATAGGAAGGAGAAAGTTATTTATTACCCTTGCTGTCCCACCCATGTAATTGGTTTATTAGCTGATTCCTCGAGCTGTTGTCTGGGATACAGTATGAGCATATTTGAGTCAGGAAATTATTAAGTCCAGAGCATTAGGATGGCTTACAGAGCTTTAGAGCCTGTGAGGGCAGGAGACGAGGGTACAATTGTGGAGTCTCACCGAGCACAGCTTCACTCTAGAGTTTTTACTTCTGCTTAGCTGCATGAATGTGACCTTCTGCTGCCAATCCATCCATTTATTCTACACGACATTGTTGAGTAACTATTGGAATGAATAGATGACTGTTCTTGCCTCAAGCCTCTTACAGTCTGGTTGAAAAGATGCAGCACGCATAGATAAGTAAACACACACAAAATAGAATATGAGAAGTGTGGTAAGTGAAACATGCGCCCGAGAGTGGTCACTTTCAGTGGAGGAGATCAGAGGAAGGCAGCAGTTCGCTCAGGTGGGCCTTTCAGGATTTTGGAAGGTAAGCTGTAGGGAAGAAGGATAATCCAGGAGGGATTTCTGTGAACACAGGCTTAGGGGCAGGAAAACCTGGGGCATGCTTATGGAAAATCAAAGCAAATGAAACCAATCATCCAGTCAGTTCTGGGACTGAGAGACAGTCATGGGAAGGTGAGGCCATCAGTGATCTACCAAACCACAGTGATTTCCCTCTCTAAGTATGTCTTCCAGTTGCTCCTTACTCATCCTTGCTCTCTCAGCTCAACTGCCATCTTGCCACCTCCTCCTACTCTCAGAGGCTCTGTTAGATACATTCGTGCCGAAGAGGCCTTTCGGACTCACAGCGAGTCTCTGTAGAACAGAACGGAATGTTGCTTGTTTCCACACCATCCTCACAATAGCGGAATGTTTCAGCCCACTGTTGCAATGTGTCCATCGTGCCCATCCATCTCATCAAGGGCCTTCCTCTTTTTTACTGACCAAGCCTGCTGTCCTTCTCTAGGACTGGTCCCTCCTGAAGACATATCCAGCGTAAGGGAGACATTAGCATGCTCTAAAATCCCAATATGACCATTTCCTGCCTCTGTCTAAAGGCCACCACTGATTTCCCTCCTAGGTAAATACCCAAGGGCGCTGACACCGTATGTCCACCCCAAAAATTGTACACAGACATCCATAACACCATTATTCATGACAGCCAAAAAGCAGAAATAACTCAGATGTTCAGGAACTGACAGATAATAAATTGTGGTCTATCTTCACAATGGAATATTACTTGACCATAAGAAGAAATAAAGCATTGCTATATGCTAAAACATGGATAAAACTTGAACATTATGACAAATGAAAGAAGCTAGATGCTATTGTATGACATATTTTGGCATATTTTATGTGAAACACCCAGAGTAGCGAGTCCATACAAACAGAAAGTAGATTGCTGGCTGCTTGCAGCTGGGGGAGCCCTGGGGTGGTACTAAGAGTCAATGCCCTTGGCTCCTAACCAGAAGGTTGAAGGTTCAAGTCCATTCAGAGGTGCCTCAGAAGAAAGTCCTGGTGATCTACTTCAAAAACATGTCGCCATTAAAGTCTTATGGAGCGCAGTTCTACCTGGCATACATGGGGTCATCATGAATCAGAAGCCCCTTCACGGTCTCAAGAGGGGCTGTGGGGCTGTCTGCTAAGGGGTCTGGTGTTTTGTGGAGGAGTAATGAAAATGCTGTGATGGTGATGGCCGCACAGCTCTGTGAAGATGTGAAAATCTATGAAATTTTACATTTTAAGGTGTACAATTTATGGGATATGAGTGATATTTCAATAAAGCTGTTTGCTTGTTTTTAACTTTTGAAGGCCTATTGATTAACAAGGTAGATCACATGCATGTCTACCAAGTACTGTGTGCTAAAGGAAAACCACCCCTTCCGTGGGGAAAGGACTTGCTCTGTGTGCACACTTTGGTGCCGTTAAGGAATACTATAATTATAATGTATGAATTTCCTGAATCTAAGTGACAATGATCTCCTGTTACAGTATGGGAACAGAAAATCCCGTTGAGAATCATTTTCAGCCCGGACAAAATTCCCATTGCTGTGTTCTTAGGACCACTGTGTAGAACCTTCCAGGACTCCGACCATCCAAGGCAGGCTTCAACTCAGCCTTTCAGAGACGATGTTGCAGCTTGACGCAGCAGCTCGCATGATCTCGCCCACCAGGAGAATGTTGGTGGCAGTCACAGTGCAGGAGTGTAGAAGCTGTTTCTTGACGCAATCGTTTTCCCATCCACCTGCTCCAGAGGCCACCAGCAGCTCACCTGTGTTCAAGTCCACATTCACAAGCTGATGAGACTCAATGCGCCATTCAAACTTTTACTAGAGTTTCCTGAAGGTCAAAACCAGCGTTCTGAGCCAGAACCTGGGGATAATGAGCAGCTAGCTCATCAGCAAATGCTTGGACTCCAAGCTGGGCCCTGCCCTTGCTGCTGGCCTTCTGCTCCATGAGAGCCTCTGCCATAGCCATTTCCACTGTACCAGCCCCAGGGACCTAGCAGCCACCATCTAGGGCATTTCTGATGGCCCGCTAGCCATCTCAGATGGATTTGTTATCTGAGTGAGGGTGTGCTTCTTTGGTCCTTTGATCAGGAGCATGACTGGGCACGGGTTATTGCGCTTCTCCATGAAGGTGAGTTTCTCTTCTCTCAAGGTGCACGCACAGACAGGCGCCTGTGGGTCCCAGGCAGTCGGATTCAGGTTGTCTAAGGAATTTAGAGCTACCTCACCACAGGCAAGCATCACCCTCTCCATGTTCTCTGCTTGGCTCTGCACAGGCCCAGGATGCCTTCCTCTGGCCAGGCGTTTAAGGCAAAGGGGTCAATTTCCTTGTGGTGAAGGATGACAATCTTTTTCCTGGAATCCCTGCAGACTTTCTTCTTCAGCTCTGTTATTTTCTTCACTCGGTCTTCAATGAATTTCCTTCTCGGCTTTTACGAGTTTCTCTCCTCCGCACGCTTGTAGAACAGAGAGACACACTTCTTTTTCCTCGTTTTCCAAGGACACATTGCGTCTTCCACGCTTTTCTTCATGTCAGGATGCCAGGCCCGTATCCGTCTCTGATCCTTGTCTCATCTCCATCACTTCAACCACGAAAAGACCATTGGGCTCAACTGGCTTCCGAACCGCCAGAATGGAGTCCGCTGCAGGACGTCAACAAGCTCCGCATGGACGTGGGTGTGCAGCGAGGTCATGGCCACATCGATCAGTGTCTCTCTTGGCTGACTCTGATTCGCTCCAGAAGTCGAACGGCCTTTTCCATGGCCTCTTCAAAGCTTTCAGTGATTATTTGGGGAGGCCAGCCTCCAGAAACGTAGAGGTTGGCCTGCTTCAGCGGCTCCCCAATGACCAGGACGTTAAAACTAGCGCCTTCTCCTGTTATGCCATCCTGGGCTGTGGCGACTTTTGCTAACCAGGAGGCTGTTGGGTGTTGAGTGTGCATTTGATGGAGTAGGGAGTTGCCATCTTTTATCAGTGTGATGCTCCCAGCACCGCACACAAGCATCTTCAGAGTGTCCTTAGGGCCCAGGTTGGTCCTCAGCACATCCTGCAGTCCCTGGCTACCCTGATGTTGACTGCCAGCACCACCTTAGCTCAGGCCACCTCGGCCTTCGGGTTCAGGGTCTTCACAGCCAACATGGTGGGGCCGGAAGAGGAGTAGGAGCTGGGGTTTTGTTTTTTTAAGTCACCGATGGCTTCCCTTTACTCAAAATTTAAAATCCAAGCTTTAATTAGCAGGGTCTCTGGGGGCACTGTGAGATAAATATTGGACTGGGAACCAGAAGGTCGGCCCTTCAAAGTCACCAGCTGCTGCTCTAGAGAAAGAGGAAGCTGCCTGCGCCCCGCAAAGATGCTGCCTTGGGACTCCTCTCGAGGGTCGCTACGAGTTAGAACTGATTCGACGGCAGTGAGTTGGAGCACCTAGTTCTCAGAAGAGCCCTCGTGACACAGGGGGCTAAGTGTTGAGCTGTAACCAACAGGTGGGTGGTTGAAACCCCCCAGCGGCTCTGCAGGAGGAAGCTGAACCTGTCTCATCTGGAGAGATGCCAGCCTCAGGAACTCTAGGGAGCTGCTCTCCTCCGGCGCCCAGGCCACTATGGGTCGAAATCAACACAGTGGCAGTGACGTTGGTCTTGTCTTGTTCCACACGCTCTCTAAGTGGTCCACCTCACTCTCCAAGCTCCAGAGACTTTCGTGTCTGTGTCCCTGGGTTCAGCCCTCATCTCGCTGCTATTGTTTGTGCTGCCCCCTCCCCCGTGGGCCCCGGGCTTCCTCTCCTTTGAGCTCAGGGCTTGTCTTTGGGAAGCCTTTCTGTGCCCAGCTCTCCTCTTTCACAGACACTAGATGATAACTTTCTTTTTTGGGGTTCCCAAGGCGTTTGGGCATCTTTCCGACACACGCATATCCCGTGACCTTCTCCTTGCCAGTTGATGTCAGCCCCTGGCGAGTCTCCATTGCATCTTGCTCATCGGTGTGTCTCCAGCGTTTGGCACCAGGTGAGGTGCCTAACCATTGCTGTTGTTGCGTCGATCCCTGCTCACTCTTGTTGTCAGGTGCCATCGAGGCGGTTCTGACCAGAGCGAGCCTACACGCGACAGAACCAAACCCTGCCCCCTCCTGCTGCGCCCCACAGGCCGGAGCCCATGGTCACAGCCGCGGTGTCAGGCCATCCCACGGAGGGCCTCCCCTCCTTTTGCTACCCTCTACTTCGCCAAACACGATGTCCTTTTCCAGGGACTGGTCTCTCTGAACAACACGTCCAAAGTATGTCAGGTGAAGTCTCACCATCCTTGCCTCTAAGGAGCACAGCAGGTTGGTTGGTCCTTTTCGCAGTCCATGATACTTTTCACATTTCTTCTCCAGCACCGCAATTCAAATGAATCGATTCTTCTTTGGTCTTCCGTCCTCCATGTTCATCTTTCACACGCACGTATCCGCTATTTATAGCAACCTTAGGTGACAGAGTAGAACTGTCCCATAGGGCTTCTTAAGCGGTAGGCATTCATAAAGCAGATCATCAGTTTTTTCTTGGAAACCCTAAGCCATGGACTCAATGCCCACTCATAGTGACCCTGTAGGTCAGAGAAGAACGGCCCCTCTGGGGTTCTGAGACTATAAATGTTTATGGGAGTAGAAAACCTCTACATTCTCCCGCTGTGTATCACCCACTACACCACCAGGGCTCCTATAGAGCTGCTAGGTGGGCTAGAACCACCCACCTTTCAATGAACAGTCAGCACTTAACCACTGGATCTCCAGGGCTTCTTAGATAAGGGTTTCTTTGTTATGTCAATGAGTGTCAAGGGAAGCGTCTCATTCTCCCTTTCAGGTGTCTTTAACATTCTCCTCCTGTTTGCATTATGGCCTGCTTCCTCTTGGCTTCGGCTTGTAATCTAGTTTTTAAAAATCGAATATTTTCCTATTATTTTATTTTATCTAGTTTTTCCTCAAATACTTTTCATAGGTGTACATTTCCATAGTTGCTCATTTGTGGTTTTCATTACCATTATTGGCTTGTGCAATAATAAAAAAGCACAGACATATCAGCAACATTAGAAATGTTTGCTTGTGCACGGTATGGTAAAAATCTAAGGCTAGATCTAGTTAAAGCACAAGTTCAATTACTATGACTCACAGGAGCATGTAATGTAAAGTGAGGTTGTTGAGTGATTAGGAAAAGCAAACTCACCCAAGGAAAAGTGCTGTGTATTTAACTGGTGATGGTAGGGGTGTGTTTCTTCTTCCTTGCACTATTTTATCTTCTCAGCCACTTAGTGACTTCAGAATACAAATGATTATAAGGTTCCAAACAGTGTTTGCTCACAGTGATGATTAGACGACTCTTGAATACATTCAAGTGGTGAGGAAATGTTCCTTACATAAGATTTTCAAAGCTTCTTTAATATGGATATTTACGTTTTTTATCTTTAATTTTCAGGGCTTCAAAGACAATGTCTACCGTGAAAGACGGAAGTACTTTGCAGACTTGGCTATGAATTACAAACAGTAAGTATATTATAGAGGTCATTTGTCCAACCTTCAGATAATAGACAAATAGAATATATTGTATCAGGTTAATAAATAGGGCATCAAATAAGTGTTCCTAGATACTGAAGGATAACTCAAAATCACTCTTCTTTCATCAGTGGGGATCCAATTCCTAAGGTTGAATTCACTGAAGAGGAGATTAAGACCTGGGGAGCCGTGTTCCAAGAACTCAACAAACTGTACCCAACCCATGCTTGCAGAGAGCACCTCAAAAACTTGCCTTTGCTTTCGAAGTTTTGTGGATATCGGGAAGATAATATCCCTCAACTGGAAGATGTCTCCAACTTTTTAAAAGGTAATCAGAGAATTAACTTTTGCCAGGGGGATGCCGAACTCTGTTTTGCTCACGACAGAATTTTAAATGGGGAAATAGAACCCACTAATGGGGAGGTCTAAAGTTTGCTGGCCATGTTTGCATGTTGTGATGAAAATCTGTCCTTGGGTATTAGATCCGGTATGGGGCACTCAGGGAAGGGAACAGAATTATAAGGGGATTTGCAAACATGCCATGCAAGTGGAGCCTGAAGGACTGGGGGCCATTGAAGCTTTATGTAGGAGCCCTGGTGGTGCAGCTGCTGACCAAAAGCTGGACGACTTGAAGCCAGCAGCAACCAATGTAAATGCTTCCTCATAGACTGACCACCTTGGAAACCCTAAGGGGCAGTTCTATTCTCCCTTGTAGGGTGAGTGAGTTGGAACTAACTTCATGGTAAAGGGTTGAGCTGGGTGTTTTTGATGGCTTTATTTAAATATTTGAGAGTTGACCTTATGTAATAGAGGGATGATTGTGTTGCCCCAAAGTAAAGCTCTATTACGTTGACACTCCAAGTTTTGGGCCAAACTGGAGAAGACCTTGCCAAAAGAGACCTCTTAAAATAAGGATACTTGGATTGTCATTCTCTTTATCACATGCTTTGGCTTTTACAATGTCTCCGAGCCTGAGCCTCAGTTTCATAGTTGTCCCAGTGAGGAAAATGATTCTTATTCCTTTAAAGGTAAGAGAAGGTGTGCTACGTGTCTTAGTTTCTCAAGGTGGCCATAACAAACTACCCTGTGAAGGCTGGCTGCAAAGAACAGATATGCATGTCCTCACAGCTGTACCAGCAGGGCTCCTTGTCCTGAAAGCCAGAAGCCTAGCTCAGGGTGTTGGCCATAGCCAATGCTTCGGAGGGCTTTGAGAGAAAGGCTTTCCGGCCTCTATCGTAGTTTCTGCTGGCTGCTGGCAATCCTCGGTGTTCCTTCTCTGCTTACCGATGCATCTGCTTCCACAACCACAAGGCATCTGTCTTCTCCCGTGTGTCCCTCCCTACTGTAAGACCCCATGGAGGGGAGGGGATGCCTATGGAGGGGAATAGTGCTCAACCCAGGATCACGTTAACCTAGCTGAGAACATCTGCAAAGAAAACCCCGATTTCCCCAAACAAGGTCACGTTCACTGGGACACTAGTTAGAATTCCAACCTATCTCTGAAGGGACACCATGCAATCTATACTACTGTGTAAAAGGCACAACTTATTGCTTGACCTATGGTAAGTGTTGATTAAGTAGTAGTTCTCCTTAGTTCACGTATAAGAACACTGTGTCTAAAGAGATTGGCTGCTAACTGAAAGGTCAGCAGTTCAAACACACCAGTGGCTCTGAGGGAGAAAGAGGTGGGAGTCAGCTTCACAAAGATCTACAGGCCTGGAAACCCTGTGGGGCCAGTTCTAGTCTGCCCTGTAGGATTGCTATGTGTCTGCATCGACTCAACAGCTGTGGGTTGGTGGCTGTAGTAGGTGCATTAGACACGTTAGTTGCCACACCTTCCCCAAAGTGTCACTTTGCAGAGTTACAAAGCTGTGGTCATTGGCTATTGGCTCTGATGGTTTCCCTCCATGTTCTCTTTTGCTGGGCAGAGCGCACAGGTTTTTCCATCCGGCCTGTGGCAGGCTACCTGTCGCCAAGAGACTTCCTGTCGGGTTTAGCCTTTCGAGTTTTCCACTGCACTCAGTATGTGAGACACAGCTCCGACCCCTTCTATACCCCAGAGCCGTGAGTATTTAGTTTTGTTTCTGCCGTTTAATCCTCAGCTGGTCATTGACGCTCATGGTGCCTACCCGTCAGGGTTCTTGTGAGGATTCAATGAAGCAGCACATGTATATCCTTTAAAGCAGCACTTGACACCTGTCATATATGCTCTGCATTCCTAAGTCATCCGGACCCCTGTGTGCAGGGTAGGGCTGGGTTCCCTACATTTTCAAGGGTTGATGTTTCAGAAATCAGAATGCCTTTGGGTTGACTTGAACTATCATCCTTTACTTAGCAACCAAGCACGCTGACAACCATGTATGCCAAACAGGGTTGTTATTATTAACTGTTAGGCAGCAGGTGTTGTTCTAGATGTAGGGAAATGCCTGTGAAAAAGTTCCTGCCTTCATGGAGCTGAATTCTATTGGGGGATACATACTTATTAATTGACAAGTAAATATATATGAGGGTAAGTCAAAAAGCATTGCCACAAACCCATAGAAACCTTTATTAAGCAAAACTATCACAATGTGAAGCTATTTTGGGGGTGGTGGTGGTGGAAATCTTCTCCATTAGGTCTATATACTCCATTAGGTCTAGATACTTTCCATATCTCTAATCCTTGCTTGAAGTATTCTGTGTTCTTTGATTTACACCGTGTCAAACTGTGTTCCCTTTCAATGTTCATCTGAGATCTAGGGCTGGCTGAGAGGCAGTTGGATGTTGTGCACCTGAGTGCCAGAGGGCTTGAACCAGAACCATTTCTTTACTTGATTAGCATCCTTTAGGATCCATTACCAAAGTAATACCGCCTAATCCGTTTGAATACAAAAGGAAGATCAGATGCTGAATTTTTAAAAATTCAGGATTGAATGATTGAGGAACCAGGTGTGTTCAGCATCACTGTTTGACAATCTTGTACTTCTTTTTTTAGAGATACCTGCCATGAACTCTTAGGTCATGTTCCACTCTTGGCTGAACCTAGTTTTGCTCAGTTCTCCCAAGAAATCGGCTTGGCATCACTCGGCGCTTCAGAGGAGGCTGTTCAGAAACTGGCAACGGTACATGTCTGGGCGTGTCTGTGTCGATCAGTGATTCACAACTGGGGCCGAGTGCCGGGCTTGGGTGCAGTTGAAAACTACATATTCAAGACGACCCCTGAATGTGTCTCTCTTTCTAATACTCGAATTCATTTTTGGAAAGGATGATCTATAACTTGAAGCTTTATCAAAAAGGGACACAAATTTTAAAAAAGGCAGAGGAAACTAGACGATAACAATGTGAATCATTTGTGTACCTCTTGTTTTCCAATAAAAATGAGAGAGCCGCTGAAAACAAGCTTTGTTGTTGTGGTTCACCGAGTGCAAGCCCTTATTCTAATCGCACAAAGAGGAGGGAGGCCTAGTCTCTGCCCTCCAGGAGTGTCCACACCCCTTCAGGGACAGCTTTGTGAGAAGGAGACAGAGAGAAAGCCAGGCTCTGGGCAATGGGAAGGACCACCAGGTGAAGGGTCCAGGGGAGAGGGAAAGTGGGACCACACTTTTACTGTGCCAGCTAAAGCAGGCAGAGCATCAGGAGGAGACACACAGGGAATGGGTTGAGAAGGGCCCGGGTGGATTCAGGGGAGCAGTGAGAAGCTGGGGTGGAGGGGAGGCGATATGAGTAAGGCCAGGTAGTTCGGAGCAGTGCTTCTCAAGCGGTGCTGTGGGTCCCTGGCATCCCTGATGCTCTCGCAGGACATCCAAAAGGTTGAAAACCATGACAGGCAAAAGGTCCAATCTAAGTGCAAGGTAAACTAAAACCCTAGTTACTGTGGATTCTAACTCATATCATTGCCATCCTGTAAGACAGAGTGGAATTGCCCCCAAGGCTTCAGTCTTTATGGAAGCAGGCTGCCACAGCTTTCTCCTGAGGACTGGCTGGTGGGTGCCAACCACTGACAAGTCAGCTAGCAGCTGAGTGCTTAACCTCTGCCCCACGGGGAGTTTAATATAGCAGAACTCATTGATACCCTGTTTCCATGATTCCACATTGCAATTGAACTTTTAAGAAGCTATCACTTCTTATGTTTTGATGTTGTGTCAATAAAGAAGGTCTATAATCTGCAAGGGGGCGGGGGGCGGCGCACAACAGCCTCGGTTGGACACAGGCAGATGTGGACTGAAGATGACCCCGTGTCTGTCCCACATGGCCGCCAGCTGAGGGGGCTGCTGGGAGGAGTGGTGGGGTCTGGCAGAAGCTCAGTGGAGAAGGAATTCTTTCAAAATAAAATGAACTGAAGGTGGAAAAAAAAAAAAAAAGAAGGTCTATAATAACCTGAAAAGGCTATGAAAATATTCTTCCTTTTTCCAACTACCTATCTGCATGAGCTGGAATTTTCTTCATGCTTAGCCAAAACAATTGGTTACAACAGGTTAGACATACAAGCAGATATGAAAATCCAGTTGTCTTCTGTTGAGCCAGATGTTAGAGAGACTGTATTAAAAAACAGTGCTTCTTTTTGTTTTGTTTTAGAAAGCATGGCTCATTCTCATTAAAACGTTATCTATACTACCACATATTGGATTCCTTACCAGTACTTTTAACATTTATTAGCAAACAGTTAAAGTTTTTCTCAGTTTTCATTTCTAACTATAACTATAGTAAGAGATCATCCACTTAAGCAAATGCTCCTTGGTGCCCTCAGTCATTTTGAAGAGGCCAAAGAGCTCTGGGAACAGAAGTTTGGGAACCACTATGTTCGAATGAAGTCAGATTGTGGAGGGACTCTTTGGAGCCAGATTGGGGACCTTGGACTTTATTTGGGGGTCCTTTGGGCCAGGGCTAAGAGTGATGGCTAGTTTTAAATGGAGTCACTCAGGCGATGACGGGAATACCGATGTTCTTTTTGCAGTGTTACTTCTTCACTGTGGAGTTCGGGCTGTGTAACCAAGATGGGCAGCTCCGAGTCTATGGCGCCGGCTTGCTTTCTTCTGTCAGTGAACTCAAAGTAAGAGCCGCCAATCTTTGCATGTAGCCAGAGTCACACATACTCGACAGCATCTGGAATACTTCGTGGACACGAACGAGAGTTCACGGTGGAAAACACACAGGATAGAAGTAAACATTTTTCTGAGAGGCATTTTCTCTATTTCCCCAGCTTCCCCATTTTACACACGCACACACACATCTTTTAGAATACAGAAGTGTTTACGCCGTTCTGCTGTTTCCTCGCCAACGGCTGGCACACTACAGACAACTTGTAGACTTTTTAGAGCACTGCTCATTATCTAGCCAGTGAATGAGTTAACTTAGGTTTGTTGACAGACCGATGTGTGTTAAACACTCTCCCATATCCTGGCTTGCCCTTCAGAAGCCAGCCATCTCGGAGTAGCTATTAGTCACGTGTACCTGAAGCAGGGTGGAAAGTAGGGTCACTGTGTGTGCTCCGGAGTATGGTAGCACGGAAAGCCTTGGGTGCTTCCTAGAGGGGAAAACATTTTAACGAAGTAGTGGGGATGCTCTTGTGGACTCATGGACAACCGCAAGCCAATGGGCTCACTGTTGTTACTTGGACATTAACAATATTGTTAAGCTAAGGTTCAACAGTGGTAGATCGGGGCCCTGTCATTGGTAACACATTTCGGGGTTAATTTCATTGAATCCCAACTGTGTTGATTCTAACAGTTGTGGGTATACGATATGCTTGATGAAAATCAATGGTATGCTTTGACTTACTGATTCTTTGTCTTCTAGCATGCACTTTCTGGACAGGCCAGAGTGAAGCCCTTTGATCCCAAGATTACCTGCAAACAGGAATGCCTCATCACAACTTTTCAGGATGTCTACTTCGTATCAGAAAGCTTTGAAGATGCAAAGGCGAAGATGAGGTAAAGTGGATCTTTCTCATGTCTTCATTTTCCTCTCCAACAGACAGGTCCGGAGATGGAGCAAGGCCTCCCTCTGCCCTTAGTAGACCATCTTTTCACAGCAGGGAGGAGATGACTATACAGTGTTGTGGGGTCATTGCAAATATCAATCAGGCACAGATCCATAAGAAACTTGTTTTCTCACCCTTCTTCCCATTTGACAGTTTATAGTCCAATAGGGAAAGTAAATATATAAAAATTACTAACAATTTGTTGTTAAAAGTTGACAGAAACACAATGAGCCTCAGAGAGACACAATGAAACATTGTTCCTGGCTTTATTCAGAAGCAATTGATTCCAACCAAGTGCACTGGGGGAAAACGTAATGACATTTGGGAAGGACAAGAAGGCTGTATGAGATGTACATGTGTTTAAGGTTTAGGCTAAGGGACAGCATGGAGAAAGCTAAGGATATGGGGGAGATCAGGGTATATGTGTGAAGAAATCAAAGCTATGCTTTTACTATTAATCAGCTAAGTGTGTGGTTAAGAAAGGAGGCTATTGGAGAAAGAGAGACTATTTAGGAAATGCTTCTCGTATTTTAGGTGAGAAATAAATGTCTGAACTAAGATAGAGGTACTAGGAAAGGAGATGACTATAGAACCGAATCAACAAAACCTGAAAGGGATCTTGATGTCACACTGTGAAGGTGGGAACAGATACGGGCTGAAGATATACTCTTTATCTTACAGGGATTTACTGTTAACCATGAGCATTCGTGCATGCCTAGAAGCAAATAACAATTCAGCAAGCTGTCCCCTAGCATCCAGGACACCTTTGTGCAAATTACAAAAAGCAGTCCCCTTAAGTAAAGTGTTTCGCCAATTGGATTTCAGCCCCTGCTGATGCACAATTGCCTTCAGCTGTACAGCTGTCCCCGAGGGTCCTCAACATGACTGTCTTGAGAGATGCCAAAGGAGAGGTTCAAATGTTGATTTAATATGCAAAACCATAGATAAAACTTGAAGAAAGGGTACTACTTAGATCATTTGAGAGAAGGCTAAGGGAAAATATTCTAAGCAGAAAGAAATACATGGATACAAGAAGCAGGAGGCTTCTTGATTTCGTGTGTGTGTGTGTGTGTGTGTGTGTGTGTGTGTGTGTGTGTGAGAGAGAGAGTGAGGGAGATGAGTGAGGGAGGGAGTGAGTGAGTGAGTGTGTGTGTGTGTGTGTGTGTGTGTGTGTGTGTGTGTGTGTGTGGTGAAGTTATGTAAACCACAATGGAACGGTCTGTTACTATGTAGTCACATGTGGCCATAGTGTCTGTAGTCTAGTCAAGAGATGTAAAGAGTAGTAAGTTATTAGAGGCTACCCATGTGGTCTTTCTCTGATAATGCGGAGATAGATGGATCCATGCTACATTTTTTAACCCAGGCGGGATTCCAGGGGCTTCTGCACATGAAGTATGAGACAGTAGACCAGGTTGGATTCATTTACATCTAATGAAAAATTAATTGTCTCTTGCATAGTGGGTGGAATGTGGTGGCTGTTGTTTGTGTGGGTTTCATCATTTTCTCTAGAAATTGATTGTCTTCTTTGTTATCTTAAACAGAGAGTTTACCAAAACAATCAAGCGTCCATTTGGAGTGAAGTTCAACCCATACACACGGAGTATCCATATCTTGAAAGATGTAAAGGGTATAACCAGTGCTATGGATGACCTGCGGCATGACCTGGACGTTGTCAGTGACTCCCTTGCTAAAATCAGCAGGCAGCAAAGTATCTGACAGTCACCTCTCCTGACCCAGAAGGCATTGAGCATCATTTCAGAGGCCTGGGGGCCAACTCTTTATTTTTCTGAAGAACGTGGAGGGGACAAAAGGGGCAGCAATTTCTAGCCAAACCACATTCTGTCATCTCATCTTTTAATGCATCACTAGTGTAGGTACATTTACACTTAGATACTCTATCCAATCACTCCTCCCCGCTCCCTCCCTCTCTCTGCTTGATAGTTTTATTGAGATAGAATTCACATATCATAGATTTCACAGGTCATGGTTTTTTACAGAGAATTTAGGTGACCTAATGGAGCTAGTCCCAGTCTGATTCTATTTCCCCATTCTTTCTGGAGTAAAATGACTTTGGTGATCAGTTGGAATACTTCACTGGGTATTAAGGAATTGACTGGTACTGGTTCCTGAGATCTCATTTCTAAATATTTATGCCTGAATGTATATCAAGATCTCTCATGTTCTATGCCTCAAGCTTTTGTTTTTGACCCTGTTCTTCCTCTGCCGTTTTCCCTTGGGAACGTCATCAACACTCATGACTTCAGTTCTTCTTTCAGTGACTTCATATTTGCATTTCAAACCCTCCCATACGTTTTGAAAAATTGTTTCTTACTTCCAGCTGCTTGCAGCACACTTGCATCCGAGTGGCCCACAGATTAGGGCCATGCTCAACAACTTCGTGTGGCGCCACTCACACAGGAGGAGTTGGGGCTGCGCAATACGCAGCCCTGCCAGATAGCTTACACTCAGCAGGTCCAAAGGGAACACAGAACCACTTTATTATTATATTTCATGAGCTTCCTTTCCCGGTCATCACATTTCTGTTAACGGTAATGTATGGTCAGAGTTATAATTTTGGCCAGTTTTCCAACTTTAGTCAGCTACTTAAAAAAAAACAATGTCCTTAATTTTTTTTTCACCCGAGTAGGTGAAATTGTATACTATTTAACATACTACTTAACATTTCAACAAACCACTAGTTCTCTAAATGCTTTTTCGATCTCAAAAGAAATTAGAAAAACCTTTTACGAAATATATTTTATTTTTTGTTATCCTAGGAAATAGAACCATGAAGAATAACTCATATTATTTTAGATTTGATATTACTTAGCATTTTAGTAGTGAATCAGCTATAGACCTAAATTAGTGGATAAAAAAATTATACAATGTAATTATTTACATGCTTATAGTTAGTCCAATCAGTTGCAAGGAAATATTAAAAGTAAATCATAACAGAGCTGGATCCCAGCAAATTGTGTGTGCTGTATTTGGTTATTTTCATGCAACTTAACCATAGTGAAGCATCATAGTTACTAAATTTTAAGGTGATGATACTTAAAATTGCTCTATGAGTAAAGCACATGAAGATAAATGTTGAAAGTACAACCCTTATGGTTCACAACTTCAGAATAATCGAAATGGTTAATGATTGATTTTAATTTTTCTAAACTCTGGATTTAGAGTATTTGGTCCTGAGTCTTAAGCGATTTCATGCATTTAAAATATGTCTTGAAAACCTCTGAGAATGTGTTGATAGCTACTCAAGTATGGAAATGAAACTGAATTAACATCCTGGCTCAAGATTGTTAATCGTGTGAGTGTTAACTCCCAGACAGGGAGAGGACATTGCTGATGTTTGGAAGAAAGCTCCCCTAGCTGGTCCTCAGAATGCCTACCTTTCTGGAGCATTTGTCATTTGGACTTACGCAAATAGAAGTGGCACATAAAAATGGGCAGAATTATTGTTATTTTGAAAGTTTGTTCTCAAAGCAAACAAAAAAGTTACCTAAAGAACATATATTAGCATTCATGTATGCATTTTTAAGAACAGTCTAAAAACACTGAGGTTTATTTCAGTCTAGTTTTTGTTTCACACACACACACACACACACACACACACACACACATATATATATATACACACACATACATATATATATATATATAATATTGGCTTGCAAGTTTGCTCTTCAACTGGAGAATAAATGTATACAAAATTAACTTTTTCAAAAGTATTTATTTTGTGAATCTTGCCACACTAAAAACTGATTTAAATTTATTTGAGCAATTATTTCCATTTAAGAAACTACCACCTCCTTATGCCTTTTAAAGATCCAATAGATGTTAGTCACAATAGAAGCCAAATAGCCTTTGGGGTCCAGACGTCACCTTTTGGAGTTCTCAGTAGAGTCTGAATCTCATGTTCCTGAACTCTCAAGTGAGATGTCTATTTCACTGAGTTACTAGGGAAAATTAAAGAATGTCCAGAGAGGATTTGTAAGAAGAAACTTCCCAAACATCACTTTTACTGGTAACCTAGCATTCTATTGGGTGGCTATCCTGTGATTCAATCAATTTATTTTTAAAATTTCAGGTGGTTTCTAGGTCTTTCCTATTAAGTCTAATTCCAGAGTGAATACTTTGTAAGTTGTTTTAGTGCACTTCATACCTAACTAAATCAACCAACCCCAAGCTTGCAGCCACCGGTGCGTTCCAAACTCAGAGCAAGCAAACTTATCGGACGGAGTAGAGATGCTCCTTCGGGTTTTCAGAACTGTACATCCTTACAGGGGCTTATTGCCAAATAATTCTCTGATAGAGCAGCTTAAAAAACAAATGAAAACCTTGCTGCCTTCATTTTGATTCTACTTCGATTCACAGTGACCCTAAAGGACAGGGTAGAATTGTCCCTGTGGGTGTCCGAGTTTATCAATCCTGATGGGAGCAGATAGCCTCCTCTTTCTCCCAAGGATCAGCTGGTGTGTCTCCTGACATTGGCTGGAGGGTGTGAACTGCAGACCTGTAGTTACACTGTATGCGTGACCCGTGTACAGCTACGGGCTTGAATTGCCGATCTTCTGTTTAACAGCTTAATGCGTAAATAACTGTGCCACCAGGGCTTTCTTTGTACACAGTTCTGGTATGTGTGTGTGTGTTAAATGGTCAGAAGTGGAAGTACTTGATGAAATATACATATGTGTATACAATATGTATAAATACATACATATGTAAGTAAAACATAACCTTGAAGACCCTCCGTGAGTTGGATTGGCACAGCAGCTACAAGAATGGATTTAGACAGAACCAGGCTGGTGAAGACGGTAAGGGCTCCCTCTGCAGTGTTTCATTCTATTGTACAGAATAGGATTCCTATGACGTAGAACCAACTTCATGACCCCCTAACCACCACTACACACACGCACACGCGTGCGCACACACATGCACACACACGCACACGATAAGTAGAAAAAGTATTGCTACTTGGGTTTCGGTTCATACATGAGCATAACATGTCTCCATGATTAGTGAATAGGTTCAGACAATTTCACTCAGTAACACGCCTAGCAGAGTCTCATTAGGATGACTAAAGTGCCATAAAACAAACAAACAAACAAACAAACAAACAAACAATTTTGAGGTCAGGGCTAGTATCAAATTTTTAATAAAAGTCAAGTGGACATTTTCCCAAATCACTGAAGCTTTGCAGCAAATTTATGGGAATGCCATCCCTCATGAAACAAGTTTCTAGATGGCTCAAGCATTTTGACGAAGGTTGGGAAGACCTAAAAGATGACTTCAAGGCAGAGAGGTCAGCTCAGTGCCTTTTTTTTCCCAAGGAGGGGGGGTCCGAAGGGGGTGATCCATAAGGATAATCTTGATAGTCTCTTGAAGGACACGAGGCAATCACAAGGGCTTATTAGGAAGTTTTTGTGTGTGTTGTTTTTTAAATGGAAACTGTATTGGTGAGAAAGAGGTCAGGAAAGTTATACCTTGGATTTTCCCCATCACAACAATGTGCCTGCTTATTCTTCGAAGGTAGCCAGAGCTGTTCTACGAGAATTCTGTCAGGAAACCTTAGAGCATCCACCCAAAGCCCGGATCTTGTCCCGACGGATTTCATTTTGTTCCCCAAATTCAAATACCATTTAAAAGGAGCACAGTAGGAGTGACTGGAGTTCGAAAACATTTTGAAGTGGTCTAAATCCAAGAGGGCAGAATAATTTGGGAAGAGAGAGGTGGAAACACTACTTTCATAGGTCTAGCTGTATGCTTCGTGGAGGATATGTTGAGAAACAAGAGGTTTTTAACTTTTGATACTTTTGTCTATTAAAGGTTTTTAAAATTTTGTGGTATGTATCTTAGAAAGTTTATGGGAAAATTCCATTATCTTTCAGTTTCATTTTCCACTAAGTTTTTGAAGCACCCTTATAAGTCCTGTTGGCATAGAGGGTAAGCAATGGACTGCAAACTGCAAGGCCAACATTTCTAAACCAGCAGCCGATTCGAAGGAAAAAGACAAGGCTTTCTACTCCTGTAAAGAGCTACCTTTCAGAAACCCACAGGGGCAGTTCTACCCTGTCTTAAAGGGTTGCGATGTGTCGTAATCGACTCTATGGTCATGGGTTTGGTTTTTGATTTTATCCATCCATCTATCCATCCACCCACTCTCCAAAGTTGTTCCCTGTCCTTAACCTGGTTCCCATAGCAACCCACTCACAACTGAAGGAAGAAACACGGCTCAATCCCACCCACACAATCCTTGTTATGCCAGGGTACATTGTAACCCCTGTGGCAGAGGGAAGCGGGGAGGCGCTCGACAAGAGGACAGGGGTGGTGCGGCTGCACCGAGTGAGCTTCAGAAAAGAGCGCGCCGGGGGCGGGCCCGCGGCAGGGCCCC